AGACTGGAAATGTTTCTCTTTAAAATATCCTTGTATCAAGACATTTAACGACTCAATATAGCTCAATGAAATACATTATGAATTATTTCTAAAATGACGTTGTGAAACTGGAAAGAAGAACGTACTTCACTTTTTTTTATTAAAATAGTAATAATAGTGAAATGAGAAAATATATGTAAAACAACAATAGGGAAACAATAAAAGTGACTATAAAACTGTTCCATTTGATTGCGGTACTCGATGTTGTTGTTCTTGAATATCATCGTCTTCACCCAATGATGGCGGAAAATCAACATTAACAGACTAAATAAAATTAAAAACATATTCAAACACTGTTAAATATGTTGATATATTTTAACTTACAAGAACATCCAATTCTAATATATCAACGAAACGTTTTAATATTAATTGTAAATTTGGTTCTGTTCGACCAAAATCGCCATGTACAAATTCTTTGATATAAGTACCTGCACCCGTTGTTAAATTTAATTGAAAATGATAATCATCTATTAATTTGGCTGACATAGTATGAATAATACGTACACGAGTCATAACAGTACGTCTAAAACATTTATTTACTCAAATTATATTATTATATATAAAAAAAAAAACATTTTAAATACCTATGTAATACACGTATCGGAGTTTTTTGTTCAATTGTTAAATTATTCAACGTTGAAAGAATATCTAATTCGTTTTGATCTATTTTTGTATCACTATAACACAATGCCAAATAACATTTTGTTTTATCTTCTTCACCTTCTTTTATCTGACTCGAATCTACTCTAAAATACAGAAAAATCATTTTTCAAAGTATTTTATCGAAACATCTTACAGATAAGAACTGGCCTCACAATTAGAATACTCATACACGCACACACACGATCCAAAAAGCAGTAAGACTACTTTACTGCTTCTTGAACGTGTTCACTTTGAGATATTCAGATACAATCTTACTTAGATATTTGTTGTAAATCTCGTACACGAATATCTTTTGTTGATTCATTAATTTTCTTAAAAATAAACATAAACAATACATTTATTCAATCGCTCGTAATAGTTTTTATAAAATTTTCATACCAATTGTAACTTTCTTATATCAGATGGCTTTATTAGTACTCGTTTAGGATTACGAAACTCAATAACAAATGGTCGTCCTATAATGATAAACATTAAAAAATCTCATAAACTCGGTAGTTTTTCATCTATACAAACCTTGACCAAGTGTTCGTACATCAACATCTTCTCGACCACTTGAAAGAAAGGAATGTTCTGTAAACAAAAAATAAATAAATAATACAGATGTCAATGTAAACTTAAAAGAATTATTTGATTTACGTTTTGCATCGACAAATTTTTTTAATGGAATGGATATTAATTCTTCAATTGATGTATCAGATTTTTTAATACCATCAATAATCCACGGTGTTTGAGATAATGTACGAGAATATTTATTGTAACGACCTTTTAATAACGAAAATGAAATCGAGTTAAAATTACAGAATGTACTTATTCATACGTACCAGCCAAATAAATGGGTTCATGTTGAGCTGTTATTTTACATATACATTTACCGTTGACATTTGGTTTATAATACCTAAATGACAAAGGAAGAAAACTATACATGTTGCAATAGGGAATATAAGCATGAAAAACATACTTTTCAAAATCATCAAAAGTAATGTCTTGTAATACATTTAACACAGACGTTCGAGTAAAACCTTCTTGAGCGTTTGATTTCTAGAAAAGAATGATCTGATCATTCACTGAACTAATGATTGATTGATTGATTGATTGATTACTAAACTAATGTTTCTCAAATTTCGATAGACTAAGCTCAAGTTTCATGAACTTTATTTCACATCAATACATTTTAGTTGTCTTATTTAAAACTAAAAGAATTCACTATACAATGAAACAACTACCTTTAACAAAATGTCCTAAGCACTTTCAACATATACCTATCAAAAGCGGAATCAGTTTCACTTTTTTCAAATCGAATCGAACATTTGACAATGATGACAAAAATAAAAATATTCTCTGCTTTGTCTTTTGTACCCTAACTATAATTGATTCGAAATATTTAATGAACATCTCAGAAGCTTAATATGACACATGAATAACTGATACCGTCTAATAAAAAGTGTACTAAAATTATTGATCAACAAATTCACATTATGATTTAAGCGTTCATATAAAATAATAGAAGTTGAAACAGACAAAATACAAACATGAAATCATGAACAACGTCTTGTTTATTGAGTAACAACAGAATCAAAACAAATGAAAACTTAACTGAAACCGATTATGGAAATTATGATCTTTGACTCTGGCCATAAGACGGCTCAGACGCCTCCTTTCTGGATCGTTTATGGTATAAAACTATGTTTAAGAGATGAATAAATAATGAGTTTTTAATGAAACAAAATGAATTCAAACGTTTGTCGAAGGATACAAATATGTATTAATTTCCGCCCAAAATCATACATGAGCATATAATAAACTAAAACAAGATAAAGGCATCGAATCGAATACAAGCGTCAAATAGAAGTTATTAAATCATTCAATTTCTGGACGAACAAATTTTGATCCTGTTGTTGATTCTAAACTTATTCTTATAGTAAGAGGTTTAAGATCAAGTAAAGTGAGAGATTCGAGTGTAAAATGTGATTTAAGCAATTCTATGTTTTATATCAAAGATTTTCACTTCATTGTTAATAATATATAACTTATATCGCAAGTCAACAATCATTAGCATTACGTAAATGTTGTCTGTTCAATATGATAAAAAAACCTGTCGGTGAATTTAGCACAAATTAATAAAGCACGCGACTATCCAATTGTTATGATAAGACCATATATGTTATTGGTGATGCACAGTACGTTCACATACAGCAATCAATACCGAATACAATAACTGAATAATGTAAGATAAAATCTATATTAACGGGCGGTTTTAATAACAATGAAACAATTCACCACAGTCAGAATAGCATTGTACTAGCAAAAATATCCATGTGATATTTGGATGACTTCAAAAAAGAAGACAAGGGTTCATCTTAACAAAAGTGATGGACGCGTATTTAGTTAAAATTGTCTGATTAGTCAGTAAAATTGCACGCACGTTTACGGATAATAGGATGAAGAAAGAAGAAAGACTACCCCCGCCTTGTGGCTATCGGCACTGATGTATGGTACTTATAACTCTTTGAGACTCCTTTGTTTTGAGAATATCTATATCTTCTCTGCAGTAGAAAATCTTTAAAATTAGTCGTTAATATGATGTTAAAGTCGATATCATACTGTTAAAGTACGTGACGAATAACATATCCGTCAAGCCATACTGCCTAATGATAAAATAGATGATAATTCGCTTTTTCTATTATCAAACATATCTTTATAGTAAATCCTTTTTAGAATTATGAATTTTTCAAAAAGATAAAATTCATATGATGTCAAAAAATGAAAAGAAGGGCACCATATATTACCTGCTTTTTAATATCATCAGCATAACGAAATCGTCGTCTAGAAAACAGAAAGAATATATTTCTTAGTTCATAGTTAGTTTGTTCATAATCTGTCATTGTCAATGACTGAACGTACCGGTAAAACTTACAAAAAATTAAATTCTTCTTTTTCTTTATCGTATGAAAAATCCAAATTAAGTTCAAATGGGCTCTAATATTCATCGATAGTTATTACTTTTAATAGAAAATAAATCAATTTGACTTTATTTCTTACTTCCATTTGATATGGTTTATCAATGATATCTTCTAATTGCTCTACCATTATATTTTTCCATTGATCTTTGACCCATGGTATATCTTTGTCAGAATAATCGCTTGATACTTGTTGCAAAAATTTCAATAAATATGCCTAGAAATATACAAAAAAAATGAACAATAATATTTGTTCTAATTATTATACTTACATGTCTAACAAGTAAAATCAACGGCAATGATAAATTACATCGAAACGTTTCGAAATCAGTGGTAGATTCTTCAGCAACCTTTTTGATCTAAATGAAGAATTTATTATATTTATCTATTCAACATAAACAAATAAGTTTTTTATACTTGATGCATAAAATTTTTTTCAGTGTATTCATGTAAAATACCCAGACATAGAAAACAATGATGAAACGGTGAAATAGTTGCTTCATCCAAGCATCTTGATTTATGCTAAAATTGAGATACTTTTTATATTTGGCTAAAGAATAAAATGTAACATAATAAATTGAAAAACTAACCTGATTTATGATTGTAATTAATGGTGCACAATGTTCGCCCAATGGACATGACGAACAAAAATTATTGACAAATAAATGATAGGCATTTGTTTTTCTAAGATCGTCGTTCATGAATCTATAAAGAAATCTGGAATACTATCCAGTCATGTAGCCAAAATTTTAGTGATGTCTCCAAAATTTCCAGGGATGTCTCTAAAAAATGTTAGATTAGAGAAAACTCGTTCTGTTCAAACATTGGTAAATTTCATTCGAACTTCTCTTTCTCTCCTCTCTTAAAACACTTGTTTACCTTTCCCTTATTCTATTCTATTACATCTCTCGAGATGGACTGTACCCTATTTCCCAAGTGCCTGGCTACGCGTTCGATACTACTTCTTGTATTAGCTCTGGAACACTAAAATCGACACAGTCAGAAATAGTATGATTTTAACTATGTAAAAATGATCATCAGAATAGTCTCCAAAGAAATTTCTAGCTGATCGGATTGATGACTGGATTTATTTTCAAAGATATAATAACAATGACAATCAAAAACTGTATCTGTACAATAAAAATACAAGAAAAACACTGCTGCTACTAATATCTGTACTTCGTTGAATAATTATTCGGTGACACGACTGGACCACTTCCTTTTCTCGCACCTTTATAGACTGTTTTAACAATATCAGTAAATTCTTGAATAACTTCTAATACCCATATTGTTATTACCTATACCCAAATCAATCATAATATGTTTATTACAGTAGAAAAACATCACTATACATGGACTTCGGTTAAATCAGCCAAATAAACTACGGCAAAATTTTTATATTTTCTGCTGCTTTATACAAGACTTCATTCATTTTCATATACGTTGGATCTCAGTCATGTCCAAAACGAATAACTATCACTTTATCTTCCTAAAAGAACGAAAAAATACGACACATGCAACTAAGAAGGAAATGTGGCTGATAAAAAACACCTACTTCAGATGATATACTCTGATTAACTTGCCACCCATTATGAAGATGCGGTAACATATACGACATGATAGAAACTCAATAAATAACTGTATGCACGTAGGTATCTACAAGTAAAAGCTAATATTTGGACATATTTAATAACATTCAGAATTACTTAAGAACTTGACACCCTCGATTACATCAGGAAAAAGAAAGTTTTTATTACGCAAATAAAATAAAGTGTTCTTACGAAATAATAACAGTGGTTTTCTATTGCGGTCGAGCGCCATCTAGAATTCGACAGTTATTGAAATCATATTCTACTTTTCTAGTTAAGAAAGCATCACTCTTGATATACTCAAGTTTGGATGTTGTTTTTTTTCTTTTGAATTAACTAGAGACTATCGGTGCTCCATATAAACCCTAGTGAATGTACTTGAAGGTAAATACTTGAAAAAGTACTCGGTCCAAGTAATAAAGCTAGTTTCTGATGGTTTTCCACAAGTTATTTTACTTACAAGCATTTTTCGTTACTTGTCAAGTACTTTTCCAAGCACTTGTCTGATCCAGTACAAGTAAATTTATTTGAAAAACTTCAGCCAAGTACTTGTTCCATTTCGAGGATTGTCATGAAATCCGGATGTTTTTAAGTCTGGGAAGACCTTTTATCGGGAAAAATGACTCATATTTCTAATAATATTTAGTGATATTATTTTTATCTTCCACTTTTTTAGTTCAAAAAACGTAATACTGTAAATATGACGAAAGTCTTTTTTTGTGCTGCAGCAAGTCCAAAGTAAACTAGTCTCAGCAGCTCTGTCAGTAGTTTTAAAAAGAAATAACGTGAATTTTTCTATGAATCTCTATTATATTTTATAACCTACAACCCACTAGATTTCGATCAAAAAGCGATTTATAACCTCGAGAAGTTCCCTCGTCAGTAGCGATATCTAAAATTTATCTTCTAAGTTTATACTGATTAATAGTGTGACGTTTATATACAACTTTTCAATGCGGAACAAAAGAGTGATTGACTCATTCAAGTACTTGACTGAAGCGAATCAAATGATGATAAGTACTCGGCAAGTAATCAAGTACATACATTGGGGAGGATTGGAAAGTTATAATAGAAAAACTGTGAAGTATACGTATCTCCCTGAGATAATCATATCAAAACATCAAAATAATAACTCAAATCGTACATTCACAACTTGCATACTGAGAACAAATAACTAATTCTTGAGAGGAACGAGTTCAGAAGAGCCTTTTCTTGTGAAAAGTACCAAGCCTCCTTTAGCTTTACAGACGAAAAGAGCTTTCCAAGTGTTGCTTCGATTTTCCCTAAAAAATCTATGTGATTCTGGATAAAATTTTACACTGAACACGAGTCTGTTATTTGTCTAGTCCCATATAGCCTTTCAGTGTCTCTGTTTCAATTCCCAACCCCTAGAAAATCCATCGCAATCTTTTGTCTGGATAAATTTTGTAATATCAAATTACCAATGTGCATAAATTATTGAAAATAACGAATAAGCTTTTTTATCCAGCAATAATATGGCTGGTTGAGGTATTTTTCCCGATAAAAAAATTATAACTCGGCAAAAACTTGTTGCTTAATTCAAACAACTTGTACACATCAGTAGCTTGATATGCTCTACAATGCGACATTAACAGAATTTGATCAAAAGAAAGTTTTTAGAGACCTTGATTTTGAACAGAGACACTTAAAAGGTCGTTTAAGGAAGGATAGACGGATAACTCATTAGAGTTAACAGATTGATAGACAAACACAGATCGCAAAGAGCATTCTTATAATTCATATAAGAATGTAATTTGTGAATTTTTTTAATGAAATCTAATCCTCATAATTTTCATTTTTCTAACAAACAAAAAGTGCAGAATTATAGCTGTTGTTTTTGAATAAATTTTATTTTATACTATATAAATTTTTCTCATGTTTCATGCATTAATCATCTTCACACAAAATAAAAATAACATCATTGAAAAAACATGCAAAAAAAAATAAAATAACAATGTTAAAAAAGAAAAGTTCCAGATGCGAACAATAAATATATAAAAACAAGAACAAGAAAAAAAACGGTTAATAAATTAATAGAAGAGAAGTATTTTAGATAGATCACAGATTTTAAGAGTTGATTCTCAGTTTAAAACATAATTCTATGCATACAGTATTTACAAAGCAAAAAGCGACTGAAAAGACTGATATGTTTGACAAGAAAACAAGATTCAAAATAAAAGTAAAGTAGTTACTGTTTGATCTATTTTATAATGTTCTTCGAAACCAAAACGCTCTAAATTAAAGTAAAACAAAAATATTGTTTGAAAAAAGTGTCATTGTTGCATGAGCGAGAGAAAATGCTCACATGTCAAGTTAAATCGTGCCAGAATAAAAATGTTTAAAAATGTTAACTCATCTAAATCAAATCACAATTTCTGTGAATTTTCTGATTTAATAAAAAAAGAAAAAAATTAAAAATTTGCAATAAATTTTTGATTTTCGTAGGCTATAAAAAATGTGGCATGTATTTCTTATATTGATTAGAGAAAAGCAAAAAAATAACGGGGTTTATTTAGGTTAAGTGAAATACATAGCGGTGTGATACACAATCTGACAGTTTTTGCAATGAGAAAGAAGTTTTCTAAAAAAGTATGCGTAGTTGATTGAATACACAACTCATTACAATAGATGTCTTCTTCCCTGAAAACACACCAAAACTTTTATCAGTCTCTATCAGAGAGTACTGTTTTAAAATAAAAATATTTGAAAAACATTCAGTATCATTCATCTGTGATGAAAACAATATTAGTGACAGGTGATTCATTCAGTGTGCTATCTGAATTGTAAGACATTTTCAACTTCTAAAAATCTACAAGTGACTACTGATAAAATTAGTTCGAGTAAGAAGATAGTTTAATTACATACTGCGTATTTTGACTATATCTATAAATACTATCTTCATAATGAAAAATAAATTTTTTTCCACATTAATTATCGGAGTACTTATCATATCACAAGGAAAAGAAGAAAGAATGTGCGATTAGCATTAATAATAACTACAACACAAAAAAACAAAAGACCAGTCGATTGTCAACCTTTAATTCGTAATTTTCGTTTAATTTCATCCCATGTCAATTCATTTAACGTCACATTAACCAGAATGAACAAGTTATAAAATTTTAATTCATTTAATTTATACTCAGTATTTTTGACACCATCTAAACTATAATTATATTTTGAATATAATATTTTATGACGATAGGGATTCAGTTTGCTAGCAACATGTCCCATACTACGAATCATTTTATATCGTGCAATGCCAATAGGATAACGAACAATGTTTTTTTTTAATTTTTTAGTAACACGATTATACATATCTAGAATAAAATAAAATATCTTACATTGCTACTCATGCTAAAGTTTTCATTAAGAACTGAAAATCATGTTTGAGTTTTTCTACTCTACTCGAAACTCTTACCGTCGTCCTCGCCGCCCCAACCCTGATACACCGTGGGATAGCCACTTGCAGCAAGAAAGTCTTCTTGTTGAAACGCTGTAACACCACCGAATAATGCTGCATAGGATAGTTTATAATTAAATTTATCGACAGCTACCGACATATGCCGAGGTTTTGTGCCACATTCGTATAAATTTCTATTATCTTCCGGTAGAAGATCAACATCATGAAATATAAAGCATGTGTAGTTATACAATTTCATTGCTTCGATATATCCAACGTTAAATAATGCGGCACGATTAAATAAATTCGTACCTAGAACCGGAAAAAAGTACAATAATTATGTCACATTGCTGCGTACACTTTATAAGATTTTCAGTTACAGTACTTAACGGTTACGTTGTTCGTTACATACTTCACAGATGTTGCGCTCGGACAGGTCATAAACTAACCTTGTACAGGTTACTTATGTTCACGTGCCACGCATTACACGTACTTACTATGCAACATACTTACTATGCTATAACGTAAAACATGTTCTCTTTGGATAGCTCGAAAGCTAGTACGTAGTTAATGGGTGTGTATGAAGAGCTCAAAATTGGACCAGAAAACTTTATGTGTAGGCTAGCTTTTTGTCCAGAACTGTGGTTAACGATTAGTAAAGAGATGAGTGACTATCTTCGAAGATTGTATATTTCAGGAGAGATATCAGACTATTTGAAACTGACAAATCCAACTTGTCAGTACCTTACACTAGTAATAGAAGCCACAAGGCGGATTATTCTTTCTTTCTTCTTCCAGTCTATTAAAGTTATTCTTACCATGCTGATTAACAACGAATAACGTATAATCTAACTGTTGCCGCTGTAGAAACGGATGAATATTATTTAGAAATAATTTTAAATGTTGTTGTCGTCGCCGATAACAAACAATTACAGCTAAACGTTGTTCTGATTGACATTGTGTTGGCCACCAGTGACCGGCTGTGTGAGTATGAAAATGAGATTGTTCAATATCAGAAAAATCAAAAATAGTGTGATTTATAGTAACACGATGAGATGTGGAATTCGGAGGTGAAGTTCTTATGTCTGTTGATATATTACAAAATGGTAATTGATAATACGTTTCATTTGGATAAGAGAATGTATTTGAGTAAGATGCATTGAGAAACGGCAGCGTTTCAATGGTAACTGTGACAGTCATGCTTTTAGTAGAATTATTTGACAGTGGGTTGTTTTCCTTCATTCTCGTCACATTTGTAGATCTAAAGTAGAACAATAACCAATTAAGTACACTTGCTACAATTAACACTTCTTCGAGATAAAGCAGCATTAGAATACAAACTCACATTGCTGCTTTTGTGTTTATTACTGTATTTCGCGTATTCGAGTCATTGGGCGATATTGATGTTTGTAGTAGATAATAGAGTGCTTGAAAGAAGACAACTGAACATATAATTATGAATATTGCGCGTTTATTTTGAATCATAACGTTTGTAAGACAAATAAATGGGCTTATTACACTGGCAAAACAACATCAAACTAATGTTACACTACGAATAACGTATAACGTTCATTTCCCATCGTCTACAACGAGAAATAGAAAACACAGTGATGACGTTACATAAACTGAAGTAGTATTCTGCATTCATCAAAACTTTGATGTCACTTCTCCGATGTACAGCTGAGATCAGATTAGTACAATCAGTAGACTACAAAACTTCAGCATAGAAACCGAGAACTTGAGTGAAGTGTATCGCGTTCCATGCAGCCCTCACCAGACGAAAAATATATTACAAATATCATTGTTTATAACACAGGACAGTCGTTTTCTCTTCTAAGGTTTCTTAAAAAATCTTTTGAGCAAACAAAACGATATTTACTTTCTGTATTTATTTCTCGTACAAAAGAATTTTTTCTAGACAAGGAATCAAGTTTTTTATGACACCCTGACCACAATATCCACATCTATGATGGATTTATGTAGTATTTCCACCGATGTGATGAAGGTTGGGAGAACGTAAATTCGAAGCCTGATTTACCAGAGATTTAATTGTACAACTATTTAACAAATAAAAAAACAAGAGAACGGAGTTTCTCATTTGAAGTGATCAAATTTTTCGGACAATTAATAGTTCTTAATGAGAAAAGTCCTAATGGCGCTACCATATGTCAGTAGCACCATCATCGATTTTTCGTGTTTGCTCGAGAAATTTGGCTGTTTTAAATAACACTTTTAATATTTTCTGACCATATTCGAGCTTTTTATCCACTGAAAAATACAAGATCCAAATTATTTTGTTAAACACTTCATTCATACTCTGGTATTCTACTCTTATAACATTTATTTCGGATAATAGTAAAACATGAAGACACCGCAGATATCTACAGACAGTTATAGACAGCATAGAGACACCCACAGACAACCCAAAATTAATACATAGATATTCACTTCTACCGACATGGGACCAGGTATGGGCAAATTCGAACTGGAAGATTTTTTGACGGACTCAAACTCAGACTTGAGATTTTTTTGAAGGACTCGGACGCGGACTTGAGTTTTTGTATTTCGAGTCCAATCTAATCTACTCTTAACACAAATCAACAGAGAAAAATGAAAAGCGAAATAACAACACCTTCTGTTTCACAAGAAATTGAAAATTTTGTTCGGGAGACGGACATGCAAAGTAACCTTATTTTCGAAAACAAATATCTATTCAGGGCTCAGTAAATTTAAAAAGAGAAATAAACCACCCTCATCAAAAAAGAATCTAAAAGATTACCGGACTCGGACTCGGTCCTTAATGTTAAGCACTCGGACTGGACTTGAATTTTTAAGGACTCGGACTCGCCATTGCCTGCATGGGAATGACACATAAGTGAATGTCTGTGTAGTTATTTTGGGTTGTCTGGGAGTGTCTCGGTGCTGTCTGTGCAGCTGTCAGCGGTTCTTAGCAATGTTCGATTCCGGTTCTCGATTTTGAATCGAAATGAAAAGAACTGCGGTTCCGGTCCCTCATGCGGAACCAAAACGAATAGAACCACGGTTCTCGGTTCTTAGCTTAGAACCGGGAAATGATTTTTCAGCCAGTAACAAATTCAACGAAATAGAATTCATTTTATAGTAAACGAAAGGATTCTTTTAAATGATGATAGGCAAATATCATCTTTTTGTAGCTTTGTCTATAGTGTATGTTCATTATAAATGGTGAACATTAAAAGAAAGGCAAGTCAAAAAATCTCGGTTCCGAAAACAAGAAACCACCGAAGAAACCGCGGTTCCGATTCCCGATAAAGAACCGAGAACCGAACATCCCTAGTGGTTATCTGTTGATGCTTGTGTGCTGTCTGTAAGTGTCTGTAGATGTCTTCATGTTTTACTATCACCCATTTATTTTCTATACTTATCATCTATGGATGCTACATCTCATTGAATTTGATTCAACAAAGTGTGCCTATGATCCAACATTATTTATTCACATCAGGAACGATTTCAACAACAAGTAATGTTTATCTGATGATTTAACTTGCATGGCCATAATTAATGATGAAATTTGAAAATACGAAGAGATGCATAGATTTTATGCTGAATTGACCATAAAAACAACTTTTAATAACTTTTAATATTCAGAATTTATGTAAAAATGCAGTCGAACGAAGTACTCTTTACAACTATTGACTTTTCACTTACGACGTACCCTCACCAAGTGTATACCTCCATTTTCAATGATATTATACGGATCGATTAACGGAAATATCTTAATAAAAAGCCTAAAAGGATTTGGACTCACATCGCTTCTTTCAAAAGCTATGACTTTTTCTATTTTCATGTACAAGATTCTATTGTAATATGAGATAGTAAAAATAAATATAAATATGATATTCGGTAAAGAATTATTCAATATGTGAAGTTGAGACCGCTTTCTCTTTTCTCGTTACGCTCGTTATTTTTTAATCCATGGCTTTCTTCTTGTTGTTGATGGAAGATAAATATAGTAGATGCACGTGTAGTCAATTTTGTTAAGGGCCCCACCCCCCTCCAGAAAAAAACTTTTTTATCTTACATCCGATTTCGATGGCGCTTCCCGCGACTAACGCTTACTGTACTACGAGGTTATGCTAAGAATTTGAAATCGAAACATTGAAGCGCTGCCTAGTTATTGCGTGACAAGGGGCAAAATGGGGCTCTTAGCAAAAGTGTTATAACTTTTTTGTTGGAAGGTGCAGAAAGCTGCGAGAGACCTCAAATGAAAGTAGATACCTAAATCTAAAATTTGATCCGCGGCGATTTTTGAATTTCGCTTTTGTTCATTCCCTACACGTATTTTAAGTCAGATCTCAAAATAATCCTAATTCGGCGGAGTATTTGCCACTTATCTCTGCACAGAAAACAAAAAATCGATTTTTAGGGTCTTCAGAAATCTCTTTCAAAATCCTCCAAAAACATTGAATTTTTGGCAAACTAAGATGGATTCTGAAAGATGACACTTTGGGATACTGAACTGTATGGTTACTTCAGTTTTGAAGGTTTCGAAGAAAATACCAAATTCCTGAGGGGAGCCCCCCTTAAAGTGTGAAGAAAGTCCGTGAAAAAAAAGACAAAATGGGAGAACCTAGTTTTCCTTACCGAAGGGAAATTTTAATTACTCGATAGATTCGAAGATTTACCGATAGAAAATTTTTACTGTACACTTGGCGAAGGTCAAAATTATGTCTTTTCTGCATGAAAGGTTGCATTATTTTTCGTGACCGCCAGCATATTTCAAAAATTTTCGAACACGGGTGAAAATAGATAATAAAATGCACTGATCATGATGATGAATCTAGTTCGCTCAATGTTCTTGAGGATCTTGAAATGGTTTTCTGGAGACCGTCTAGAGATCAGTTCCGCAATTTTGCTGTTTCTTTTGACGGGAGGCCTCAAAAATCGATTTTTCAGCGTTTTAGCCGTGTTCCAGGCCTGTAGCCAAGATTTTTGCGAAGGGGGATCGACATTTTTGCCTTCAGAAATGGTCTGAACTCTTATCAGCTAGCAACTTTTTCTGACAGGTTTCAGTGGAAAAAAATCATTTTTTCAAAAGTCATGGAGGGACCGGCCCCCCAATTGTCCCCTCTGGCTATGGCCCTGCGGTATTCCTAAGCTTTCTAGCAGAAAACAGTTTGTTAAAAATTTGATCTCGATATCACTTCAGAGAACATCATTTTCTCAATCTACAGAGGTGCTTTTGATTTATGCTCCACACGAATAGTGGACGCTAGAGCTTTGAAAATCTGTTTTTCACCGAAGGACCAAGTTCTGTAAACGTTTTTTCCTGATCCATCTTTCCACTTTGAAAAGTTTAAAGCCGATATTCGTGATCAGAATAGTCGACTCTATATGACTAGACGATTCTGACGTATTCAGGGGTATTCTCATGGAATTTTAGGTATTTTCTGGTATTCAGAAATATTTCCAGCACTTAGAATACTCCCGAATTCGCATTTTGTCCCTTCCATCAGGTAGACAAACCAGAAAAATTACTTTTCTTTATGATTAGATTTATTTAAGTTAATGTGACTTGATGTACAACAGAAAGGCGGGTCTAACCCACAGTAGCTCAGGTAGAAAAGGAAGTACAATTGCATTTTCCTCTACTTACTTGACTAATATCATAATTTCATTTCTCGTAAAAATATATATGTTATACTATATCAACTGAAAAAAACCGCGGTGCACTACGTGTTTTTTGATCTCCCTGCAAGAATTTCAGAATTCCGTGAACCGATTCGCAGGATTATTTCAGATCCCATGGGAATGGAATACGTGCGTTTTCTCAGGTTTTTTCCGGCAGTGTACAATGATGATCACCCATATGTTTATGATAATTGTGGTTAGGTCTTCTCATCCCGAGTGTGTCCTGTTTGTTTCATGTTATGTTTATAGATGCTCAAATATAGAAAGATAGCAAATAGGAAAAATTTCATGACAACTAACTAAACCGACAGAATTAGAATTTATTAATTTTATAGAATTTCATAATATTCGTTAGATACGCAGCGCAGTGATATGCGGATTAGAAAAGGTAACTAAAAGCACGCGTAGACACGATAGAGACAAAAAGTTATAAGTCGTCATGATCCCGCATATCTCAATTAGTATGGTCCTGCATAATTTTTCAAAATAAAGTTCGCAGAGTATTTCGAGATACGCATGAACGTGTATTCTCAAGGAGGAAAAAGTAGCGTCTAGTGGTTAAAAACTCTTGCCGACTTTTTAATACGGATGTTACACGAGAGATTCTGTCTGCTAAAAGTCCCTAAAAATAGCTTTTATCGTTTTTTCAAAGGGATGTTATATTACGATACGAAGTACGAGCATTATCTAATATCTTATCTTTCTACTTAATTCTGTATGATCTTTTTCTTTTTCTGTCTATTGACTAAAAATATTTATTAAATCACTCTTTTTACCGTTGTGTACTAAAAACACAACAAAACAAGAAATTACTATACAAATGGGTGCCCTTTCGATTCGTTCCTAATTTACTTTGTAAGATCAAACATTATCAAAGGGCACATCAAAAGTGAGCGCCTATCTTACAAATTAGCCGAACTAATTAACTTTACTGTCACGGAGGCAATTGTATTGAACAAAATTTTAAATCCTATGAAGAAAATTCACTAAAAAATTATAACTTCTTTTAAAATTTTCATGTCGCCTCCGCCAAAGACGAAATTTTTTATTTTATTTTCTCGCCGTCGCCGCCAATGTCGGCTAACACCTCTATTCGTAAACAATAGATTAAAGGGTATTTATCAGCTGTCACTTCTTACTGATAATCAGTCAAACATGGTTGAAGAAATCGTTTCTACAAATATATCAAGATCAAAAATTACTTTTTTGAAAATTTTTGTTAGTACAAAACCGGCATTATATAAAGCATCGAACTTAGAAAGATAAAATATATGATGATATGTACGCACTTATATATACACCATTGATTACCAAATTTGAATCTTTGATTAAACAATGAATAAATTAAATAAATCATTCTAAAATAAACAAAATACGTCTATGTATTACATACAATTAGCGCGTTACATTGCATGAAAGTTAGTTAATAAGATCAATACCCAGAGGGTGTATGGTGAAGATCACAAAAATAAGGTTATGATCTCGTTGCGTAAAAGACCTATAAGTGTTGTCAAAGAAGAGCATATTGGAGTAAACAATTCGAAAAAAAGGAGACCAATATCATCGAAACGACAACGGGAAACCATTGCTTGAACCAAAAATTATGGAAATTATAAATGAAAAAATCTATTCTTTTTTAAAACGTTTTCTGAAAGGATACTGCCGAGTTTTAAAATTTCAAGTGATTAGCTTTCTATTATAGGGTAAGATAGGCATTTATAAGGTGTATCTGACTATATGCTTCTTAGAACTTGGCATTGTATGGTTCTTGTATAAACTAAAACGTTTGGGCATTGGGGACGTTTGGGCATTTCTGATACAAAATAGCACACGTCTCATAAAGAGGTATTCTCGCTCTCAAGAGTAATACATTTTTTATTATCAAAATTAAGATACACTTTTGACACAACAATTTTCATACTGCGTTAGTAAAACTGCTCTACGCAAAAAAAGATCAAAGATTTAAACTTTATTTTAGTCTCATTTTATGCAGAATTCAATTCTTTCTCTCGTGCGATATAAAAACGTTGAGATGGATTGCGAGTGTAGGAACGTATACATTGAGAAAAAAAATAAAGTTCAGCACTGAGGTAGTCCGCTTATTTTGTATTTTTCCCACTTCATATACCTCTTCAATGAAAAATGAAGGCATACTTGAAATCAGCAGACAAAACTGCATCGAATCATGCATTACTCAAATGTTTTTAAGAAAAAGATTTTTCGATGAAGTTCTAAAAGCGACTTTTATCAAAAAAAAAGTTTTCTTAAAGACATTTAAGTGAAGCATGATTCGATCCAGTTTTTATTACAGGGATATCATATAGATACCCAGTGCCCAAACTTTTTAGTTTAGACAAGAACCATACAGCGCCAAATCCTAAGAAGCATATAGGCAGATACGCCTTATAAATGTCTGTCTTATCCTATAACAGAAAAGTAATCACTCGAAATTTTAAAACTACAGTTTCCTAAAGTTAGTCTTAGTTCAAAAACTAAGTGCAGTTTAGATTCATGAGAGCGAACTTTCGAAAAACCTTGTAGACAATAAACGAAGAAAACAAAGATTTGTTAATCTTTTTGCCAGTTCGTCAAACTATACGAATATTTAAACCAATAAAAATTCAAAATTAGACCTTTTTTAGATCTAAATTAGTTGCTCAAAAAATTCTTTAAATTCGAACATTTTTAACAGTAAACGGTTATCAAAACACCAGGCAAATAGATGGTGGTTCTTCACACATATCGAATGCGTCATTGAAAGTTTCCTAGCTACTGGTTGGGAGTAGTGGTGTAGTTGGAACATTAGCGCCTCGCAGTATGGTAAACCAATCAATCGGAGGCCGTTTTCATCGTTGTCAAGTTAGTACGATAAGAACACAAAAAAAGGTATGTCTGGAAAACTTCTAACATTTTCAGCTTTTTTACCGTGCTTGTTCTTAAAAACAAAGACAGCTGAACTTGCATTGACAGACCGTTGACTCATAGGCGCTTCAGAATCAGGGAAGAATCAAATTTTATGAGCTCGTACGTTATCCTATGCCTATTAGAGTTAAAAGCAGGGGAACTCAAGCCTACTAGCTCTACTGCCTTTGCTCTGACTGAAGTTGTTTCAGCATTGTAAAAGCACAAAGGATCTATCGATGCAACAATACGAAATCGTATAGTATAGTTTAAAGAAAATCCGAACAATTGTAGTTAGTAACATTGAACTTAGTTCTTTCTTTCGGAGATGTGAATTGTTGTCTGATTGTGGTCTAAAAGTTCATCAAATAATTTTAGTAATGCTTTCATTCGTCTATCATAATTATTTATTTCCAGAAACATGTCATTCAATAGAAGACTTTTTAACTATCCGATGAATTATTACAGCTGCAGTTTAATTGATTTCACATTTGAAAATTCATTGTTAAATATATTCATTAACAGCCCACGTAAGCCTTTTTTTGAGTCAACGCGTTAGTTTGGATCGGTAACGCGTTTTGACACATTTTCTGTAAAAATGAACGCGTTCCGACGCGTTAATATACTATAAACGCATTGAAACGCGTTTAAATCCAACGCGTTCTGACGCGTTAGAGAAAACGGATGCGTTAATTACCAACACGTTTAGCAGGACCATTATTTGGTAATTTAACGCGTTTTCATACGTTATTTTCTGCTGCATTTTAATTTTCTTTCAAAGTGTATCATAAAAGATGAACCGAGAAGACCATTTGACTTTAAAATCTTCTTCTAACATAGAATAACCGAACACAGCACGAATACAAAAAAAAAGAAAATAACAATGCGACCTGTATTAGTTGAGTTATCGATCTAACAGACAGACTATTTTATTTCTCGCACACACATAGTTAGGTATGAGAAAAGAGATGATTGTCTGCGGAATTACTTTATTCTAAGCGAAAAGATTTGTTTACTTTGTAAATGAAACTTAGAAGTCATAGGATAAAGAAGCAAACACTGTCTTTTGTCTGACTGAGACGATCGAAACACATAGCATTGTTACTGTATATGTTTCGATCGTCTGCTAGCTCAGATGGTTATGTGTTTGCTTCTTAATTCTCGGCACCCACGTTAGAATCACACTGAAGTCATGTAAGTACAAGTTGTTTTCTTTCTCTGTTTCGTCACTCTACTGGGTTACATAGTCGTTTGTATGCATATCAATGCATCCAGACATGTACTAGAATTTAATCTGATGCTGAATTTTATTTTTTTTTATTTTAATTGATTTTCAGTAAATACAAACGCATTAAAAACTAACGCGTTGAAATGGTCAAAATGCATCCTGATAAACGCGTTAGAAATTAATGCACATTAACGCGTTTTTTTGCCAGAAGAACTTTGCCTGGGAGGAGTATTGCGAATGGACTCAAGAGGTAACGTTCATCTCCGAGTCAGCAATCATGAAAGCACATTTGCTTACGTTTATTAAAATTACTATTTTATATCCCTTCAATGTTGCCTCTTCGACTTTTTTATAACAATAGAGTTCCTAGACGAAGAACCCTTAAATATAATCTTGCACGACCATAGAAGATCTTGCAAGGTCATATTTCAAGATATCACAAAGTCTTAAAACATGCAATAAAATTTCATATGTTCTTGTACGATATGGTAAGAAAAGAAATTTGAACATGACACACTATGACCGCTGAAAGATTTCACAAAATTTTTCCAGGGATGAATGAAGGAATCTTTTGTTTTTATCTTCTTTTTCTAGTAGCTGTGGTCTATTAAAGTAAAAGTGTTAGAGATCGTCCTACAGTCCGTTTTGTTTCTTAAAATTGCTTTAGAAATACACAAAAACGAATGCTGCATAAAGTAGACACTTCCTTCGATGAATATATAGAAAGTAAATAAACATCAAAGTTTTCTTTTCATTCTTTTGTCTGAATCAAGTTTTCCTGTGTCAATAAACAGATCATGATTTTTGCACTGCTTGAGACGTTTCTCTTTATTTCAAAGATATTTCTGGAGACCAGAATACATAAAATTTTGAAGTAAAAATGTGTCATTACTGTCACAAGTTGGGTAACAACATAAATGCCCCACCCCATCGTAGTAAAAAATGTATTGATAAAGATAATATTCATTCGAAAGTTCCTATTAGTAAACGACTATATGAAAAAGGAAAACGATTATCAACAACGAGAAGTGAATCGACGGATGACAATGTAGCTTCGGACGGTATTTGTTCAATATGCTGGGAACGAAAAAGTAATTGTGCGTTTATCCCATGTGGACATGTAACAACTTGTGAACAATGCTCAAATGATGTTGATAAATGTCCAGTATGTCGGGCAACCATCCAACAAAAACAAAAACTTTATATTGTCTAAAAGCCCTTATAAATATAAAAACAGCTATTTCATGTTGTTTACTCTTTCTGCAATAGCCATTTTCTTCATGATTTTGTTAAAAAAAATGTAACCTTGTCAGCTATATATTTTTTACTTTTAATAAAGTTACGGGCAGTGGTATCTGGTCGATAACCGATATTTTCATTCACTTCTGAGATTGTCCGAAATTATCTAATACAAGTGTTGGACTTCCAGAAATACTGATCTCATGCTTAAACTTAAAGTGACTGAATGCACTGATCATCCTTCATAACTATCGTGGATTATGGCAAGTGCCATGAGCTTCGAAATAATATATAAGACTAAAATTGTTCGTTGTCCTATTAAAAAAAGGCCTAGATAAGTGAGGACGGTTTACATTTTTGTAGAGAATTTCAGAAACTTTTCAATCATATCTACTCAGTCAAATGAATGGAAGAAACGTGAATCAAACACGTTTTACTTATCCTGTAGGTGAGGTTTAAGGTGTGGCTAGTTGGTGCTATATTGAGGAATCACGCAGATTTTAGTCACCAAACGTAGACAAAGGAGGGAGGTTAATTTGGTCAGAATTCGACCCCCTGTTTTTTTTTGCTTATTTTGACTTGACTTTTGTAGAAAAGACATTTTTACACATTTTCCAGTTATTCTTATGAAAAACAAATTCAAAATACGATTTTAACGTTGATTATTTTAAGATTCCATCAGAGGAGGTCGTTGTTAGAGGAAATAATATTTTTGAAAATCCAGCATAGGTTTTACACAAACCTTGATATGAAAAAATGTTAAATGAAAAACTGAATAAAATGGTATATGAACCATAGTTATGTACCATATTACTAAGGAGAAATGGTTTATTTTCAAGCATCCCCCATCTATTGACCATGCTTGAGTGAGCGGATTTTCCCGTTTTCTCCCATAAGCAAGAGAGGGTCCAACTAGTCTTTAGTGTAGAAAAATAGTTCTTGAAAAGCTCTACAATATTTTGAGTCAACAAACTTTATATACTATTGGCTCAATCCATTATAATTCAAATACGAGAAAAATCAAGGAAATGCACTCATATTTTGCAGTTTTCATCATCAAATTTCAATTTTTTCTCAAAATCAATATCATATCAAACAAAGATTGTACAGTGTAGTTTTTAACGGTGATTCCAAATATGATGTTGGTTTTGAGGAAAAACTGAAATTTGACTATACTAAAGACTAGTTTGATCCTCTCTTACTTGTGGGAGAAAATGGAAAAATACGATCACTCAAACATAGTCACTAAATAGGGGATGTTTGAAAATAAACAGTTCTCCTTAGTAATATGGTACATAACTATGGTTCATATACCATCTTATTCAGTTTTTCATTGGCTATTTTCCTATACCAAACACAAGCTGGATCGTCGTTTGTATATGGAGAAAAAAGTACTTAAAACATCGTTGATATCGTCTTTTATCTCGTGTAAAAATAATTACTTTCTATTGAATTGATGTATAAGTACTATTCATAGAGTATTTTATTCAGTTTTTCACTGACTATTTTTTCATATTAAGGTTTATGTGAAACCTATGCTGAATTTTCAAAAATATTATTTCCTCTAACAACGGCCTCCTGATGGAATCTTAAAATAATCAACGTTAAAACGTATGTTGAGTTTGTTTTCCATAAGAATAACTGGAAAATGTGTAGAAATGTCTTTTCTACAAAAGTCAAGTCAAAATAAGAAAAAGACACAGGGAGCCAATTTCTGACCAAGTTATCCTCCCTACTTTACTTAGAGTCGGACGAAAATATTTTTGTACTGCTTACCAAACTTTTTTAAGCAGAAAATAAAATGGGTCAATTATCAACCTTATGCGGCATCCTCATCTCAAAAGAATGTAGGATGACTCTACTTGTTGCATCCTCACAAACCTGGGGTCTTGATGAAGGTTCTTCAACTACCAGGAAATGACATTAGTGATTTAGTGATGATAGATTCAGGAGGAAGACCACTAGGAACTAATCAGTAAGAATAATGATATCGTTGAGAAAATCGATTTTTCTGAGCATTTTAAACGCTCATGGACTAGTATTTGTTGAGAACAAGGCAAGAAGAGAATAAAAAGAAAAACCGGACTCTTTCCTTCCAGAGTTGTATACAAAACTGAACACGCCTAAAACTTACTATTTAAATAGTACAAGATTCATCAATTTCTTGAAACTTTAACAAATAAAACTAAATAAAAATCCATAAAGATTCCAGAAATACAAAAATAGTCGCAACAAACAGCAATAAAATATTTTGGTATCTGAACCAAGCCAAAAATTATTGAAGGAGAAAAAACAAATTGGAAAACAACAACAATATAAATGTTTTGTTGACATCAATCTCTATCTATATCTTTATCATCGTCATAAAATTCATTTACTGGATCAACGCTAAAAGAAGACAAAACACCAACTTTAGATTACAGTAAGAAATCACCTCACAACAATCCGATCATACCTTGATGCTTTTTGTCGTGTGTCATCTTCATCCTCATCATTTTTATCCTCGTTGTCAATTAGATCACATGGTACGTCTTGCATTTGAACAGATGGAGCATGTTTAAGTAAACGTAATTTTTCGTTAACAAATTGGACAATCAATTCCAAATACTAAAAAATGAAACGTTGAATAGATTAATGATTTATTACACATAACTAGCAATCATACCGTCCTTGAATTTCCATTTTCTAACTTTGGATTAATAAGATCTGGATGTAGTTGACAATCTGGACCAAAAAACTCAATATAATCTAAGAAGTTAAAATACAACAGATAGACTCTTTTAAACTCAAGTAGTATCACTTATTTACCATGATACGGTATGTCGTTTGACAATGTTTCATTTATTATTAATGATGTTTCATATGTCCAACAACGTGCAACGTTTTTGACAGTGTAACCACCGCCACCGACGACCAACGTTGGTAAATTTTGTTCCATAACATACGCTACACATTTTCCATGCCCTTTAATTGATAAATTAAAACATCCCAAACGATCGCCGCCAAGTGAATCAGCTCCACATTGTAAAACAATGCATGTCGGTCTATAGTAGGACATCACCGTTGAGATAACAGGTTTGAATACGAGATCATAATAATCTAAAATAGAACACAAAAGAAAGATTATTCTCAAGTCAGAATGTTTACCGTGTCATCTTACCATCATCCGTAATTCCTTCACGAAGAGGTACATTAATAGAATAATAACGTCCAGTTTCTGCACCAATCTCGTACATACTACCTGCACAAAAAAACCAATGAGCAATGATGAAAATTTATACTAAAGTATACATATATGCACTAAGTTTTACCCGTTCCCGGGAAAAAGTTATTCCCATATTTATGAAACGAAACGGTCATAACTCGATCAGTTAAATAAAATGCTTCTTGGACGCCATCACCATGATGTATGTCAATATCGATGTACAATACCCGAACATGATATCTAAATGATAAATAGAAAAGAAATAAGTGAATGTTTTTCTTTCATCATTGCTTTTTGTTATTTACTTTAACAATTCAAGAATAGCAATGACAATATCGTTTATATAACAAAAACCGGATGCCTAAAACGTATCAAACATAGTTTATACGCCTATTGGACTTTTATAACATAGGAAATCTTCATTACTTCAAATTTTTTTGCATGATGAAATCCGCCCGACCAATTGATAGTGACATCACTTTGCTATAATGGTATACACAAAGAACAAAATGTATACATTCCGTAGAAATAGAAACAAAAGTATTTATACTTTATGATTGAGCATTGTGGCACATAATAATGAGGCACCCGTATAACTTTTACAAAAATCAAATAGACCACTGAACACTGGACTAAAGAGCAAAAAGAAAGCTAAATAGATCCATCGACTTAATTCTTAACAAAAAAAACTCTCACCAATCGTCACCCAAATTGTACTGATTATAACCCCGTTGATATTCCTGAGAATTTGGAGTAACACGCGATAGAAAGTCAACATATTCTTCAGCATGAAAACGTATCATATCATGAGCGGACGCTTCGGATGGATAGTAGATCTAAGAAAAAAACTAATTATTAATAACAATTACAAATAAGTGACAAACAAAACGCATAGTTTTACCTTCATCTTTTTATACATTTTATACTCCACTACCAAGGCATGTGTTAATTCTACTCGATATGGTTTCATTGGGTGACACGGTCCATAGTGGTATTTTCCGACAGTCTAGAACAAAAAAACGCATACAAGAGGCTGTATATATATATATCGTCTATATTAAACAAGCTTACTGGATCCATCATATACGCAATAGTGCCTCGTGATTTCGATTGGGAGTTTGTCATATTCAGATCTTCACATACAAATCAAGATGTTCTAAATTAATAAGATACAATTGACAAACAAACTAAAATTTCTCACTGATTTAGTATAGCCTGAATCAATTAAAAATCATCCCACCAAACTTTGTTTCAAGAGAATAGTAGTACTTTTAACATACCACCGTTACGTTTTTACTTTGTTATGACTGATTGATTGACGGTGATACAGTCCTCTCTTCAAACTAACTTAAAGAACAAAATCTATCAGGATAGCTGTAGTTTTAATGGTCAAAGTAGCCAAATGAAAAACAAGAAATTCACCTTTTGTAATTCAATCACTGTAATGATTCCACTAAAATGACTGAAATGTCAGCCACTATAGTAAAACCCTGAATTAATAAAAATGAAAAGATTTGTAAAATAATAAAAGTTTAATCAACATTATAATAGAAAGTCACACAAAGTATCTGATAGAGAAGTAGATCTTGTTAATATCAAGGAGGACGTCAATAAACTTTTTTTCTTTTATCATGTCTCATTTCTACCGATAGATCACTGCATCTTATTTACTGTCTTCAATGAAACTGATGGAATTTATGAAAATGACTTTTATTGTTATTTACATCAGTACATCGACTACAGGTAATGAAAATAGATAAAAAAATAAGTAAATCGATGTATATATTTTAGCGTTCGATAGCTCTATAGCATATCATAGTTCAATAGTTGTCTGATACAATTCTTAATCATTCATTTGCTCGATTGTGTAAAAATAAAAATGTACATAACAACCAAAATGAGAGAGAAGCGATTTATATTACATTAAAAAAATGAGAACCAAAAATAATATAAATAAATATTTTTTTCATGTCCAGTTTTCCCACTCGTCGCCTTCTTCATCAAAATTTTCTTTGCTTTTTGGGTGTGCTTTTTGCTCTGTTGATTCTTTCGATGTGGTTGTTGTTTGTGGCAGTGTTTCACTTGCTTCAGTTACTAACTGATTTCTCTAAAAGAATTCAAGAAAAGAAAAGAAATTGTTTAAAATGGTATACATTTATCTAGTATTTTTATAAAACACGATAAAACTTCGAAATTTACCCTTATTGATACTTCATTTAATTTTCTCTCTAATTCAACATCACTCGTAGTCGCTAATAATTCATCTTCAAATTCTTGTTCCCATGAATCGCCTAAAATCATTTTAAAAAGTTAAAGAATGTCTGATTGTCAAAAGTAGTTATTTTTCATTAAAAAACTTACTTGTATCACTATCCTTGTTTTTGGCTACTTTCAATGGAACACATTCATCAATTTTATTTTCTTCTTGTTTTATGATTTCTGTATCAATCTGTGATTGACTAGTATTTGGTATTATAGTGGGAGAAACATCTGTCTGTTGTTCAAATGTATTTTCATCTTTAAGAACAATTGGAGATGCAACTTGTTGTTGTTCTTTCATTTCTTCTTTAATAGATTGTTCAACTACTTGTGCATTAGAAGTCTGTTTCTCTGGTGTAGTTGATGATAATTGCGTTGATTGAGTTATGAGATCAGTTGTAAGATCTGGTTTGACAACAGAAATGTTTCCAAGTATAGATGCATTTAACCACTCTTCATCTAAAAAATAATACTTCTATTATTGAATTTGAATTTAGTATCATTGCATTTTCTTCTTCTTCACCTTCATCCCAGTCGGCCTCATCGTTCTTATTTTCTTCATTAATCATTTTTTGTGCACGTTTTAAATTATTTAAACGTCTTATTTCATCTTCTTCTATTTGATAAACACAATAAAAATAGCGTGTCCAAAAATCTGTATGTGTTGTTTTAGCTGGTACCAGTCTACTATAGATTGATCTTACATTGGAATTATCGATTAATAATTGAGATATTTCACCTTTTTTCGAATCAACATTAAAATTAGATTTCCATTGATTATAAAGATCACGCGGTACAGGATCATTTAAATAGATCGTTTCATCGTTTTGAATTTTATTTAATTCACTCTGTAATGAAAAACAAAAAAACATTTAGATTGAAGAAAACGACGTACATCGATTTCAACTTACATGAACACGATCAAATTTTGATGATAAATCAGTCGTATTCATCTTTTCTTTTGAATTTGTATTCTGTACAACACTATTCAGACGACTGACAATTTTTTTTAAACCAAGATCGCCAACCTTTAACAATTTGAATATGAAGAAAGATAATTTTTTTTCTAAAATGTACGAAAATGGACTTTTTACTTGTTGTGTTTTGACAACAGTTGTTGCTTTTGATACATAGTTTTCTGTATCTGTTTTAACCGTTGACGTAAATTCGTTTAAATCGTTTTTCACAAATTCTAGTACATTCAGAGACTAATTCAAAAGTACAAAGTCATGAAGTGATAGAGTATTCAACAATATTAAAACGTGTACCTTGTCTTTTGCACTTTGAAGAGCAGAATTGAACCAATTAATATCCATTAACCAGCACAAATGAACAACGAAAATAATCTAGAAAAACTATAAATGATAATCTGATAAAAATACTTTTTTCTTCTTCTAACAAACAATTATATCAGTTCTTTTTCTTTTTTACTGCAAAGATTATAAAACTACGCATAATATCAAAAAAGAAATTTTACTTTTGTTTTTATATTGTTTTAGTCGTATTAAAATAGTAACTTTACAGTAAAAACAAAGACTATCGAGAGATATAATACAGAAACGAAAATAAATAAAAAACTATAAGTTCATTTGATCGTTGAATAAATCAATAAACAATAAAATACAGTTCTTAAGAGTCGTAAAATATTCTTTATTAAAAAGACATAAAAATAATATTTTAAAATAAAATGTTACATTACTCCCTATTGTCAAGGAGTATCTGAAACGAAATGAAATGAGAAGAGAGATTCACTGTATAGATGTTAGATAAAGTAATGAGAAGCAATAATAACAAAAATGGAAAAAATTTACTATTTTTAACTATCACATTTAGTTTCTCTAATGCAAAGAATAATATTTTTTAATGAAATAGCAGTACCAGCAAAAAATACATAAAATCCAAATGTGACGATCAAGATATTTAATATTAACATCCATTTAGCTCGACCTAAACCGTCGGGCCAAAACGTGATCGTTTCTAGTATCGGTGGAAATATGACAGATAGTGCCGTAGAAGCAATTGCACCAACTAGTAAACAAAATAATTCAATATCAAATAAAGCAAAAGACAAATAAAATGCTTATAGTTCATACCCAATGATATAACAAGACCAAGATTCGGAATAAGAGATGCGATACAAACTAGAAATAGACGTAAAAAGAGTAAAGTAGAAAATTTATCTGACAACTTTGACTCTTGATTAATCAGTTTTTTGAATAAACAATTAAACAGTAATGTACAAGTACGTAGAAAAGACGTTAATTTTCTTCGAAAGTTAACTGTCGAATGATATTGAACTTACAGGTTAGAATAATTAATATTAAACGAAATCCAATTTCAAATTTATTCACTACATTATCGCTGTATTTATATAAAACTTTTCGACACACTCTTGGCCACAACAATGTAAATGGAACATAAAACTAGAATCAAATGATCAATTATTGCATTAATATTACAACAAGTGCACATACTTGTAAGTTATACGATAGAAATATGGCCAAAGCATACATTAGTTTTGTAATTTGGTATAAACTAAAACAAAAACTAGTTAATTTAGTTAATCTCAAAAACACAAAAAGAACTCACACATTGTCGACAGGTAAATTTAAGGTAATTGATCCAAGTGCGTTATCACCATAACGTATATAACCATAGAATCCGACAAAAAAATATAAAATTGTAACAAGAAGTATACCAGTAGTAAGAACACCCGTCCATCCGCTAAAATATGAAACTCAAATGATTTGATCGTTATTTAACGGATCACAAGCACATACCCATATGCTTCCGGTTCTTTCATTTTCTGACGGATAGGCAACACCTAAATAAAAATAATTCCATTTAGGCTTACATCGACGAACCAAAATAAGATCAAAAAGGATAAAATATACCAGTCCAATTCCTTCGAACATATACATAGCAGAAGCAAAATAAATTGGCCAACTTTTTGGTGGTGTTATTAACGGTAATTGATCAAATGGGATATGAGTACGAACTACATATTGCATTATTATAACAAGACCTTAAAAAGTATCACACGTTAAATATTAATTCATGATTAAAAACACATTATACACCTGCTAATTGAATGATATTGGCAATTAATGAAAAAGGTGCAAGAACTTTTAAACTTTTTATAAAACTAAATCCCATAATTGGTATTAATATCAATACCATGTAAATTTGAATTGGCATATTATAAATATAATAATAATCGACCACCTGTAAAAACAAGATGTATTCACAACAAATATCCATATTTGGATCGAATTCTTTACATCTACCTGTTTGATACTCGCAGACACAAAAACAAAATAAACTGAACAAATTCCCAGTTGTGTCACGATAATAAAACCATCAATTGTAAATCTAAAAGAAATCGATGATATGGAATCATCACTTTACTGTGACAAAACGATATTTACTTTCCAAGTTTAGAATAACGTTGAACATGTTTTGATCGACAACATTCTAATGTATAACGCATTACATCTCCAAAATCACATTTTACTCTTGCTGTTCTAAAATTCGAAATTATTAAAGCACGATCTATTGAAATTAAAATTTACCTTTGTCGATGATATTCATGACAACGTAATAATTGATGCATACAATACAATGTCATAATACCCATTATCCAAAAGGTGATTGATCCAAACTAAATAAATCAACTTGACATAAGATGAAAAGATTATTAGTCTCTCAAAACAACAACAGACATGCATATTTAACATTAAAAATTACCAGTATTCCGGCTTTAGATAAAGCATATGGAAGTGCCAAAATCCCGGTTCCAATATTGCCTTTAATTATATGCATCAATGTTTCAGTGTTTCTATAACAGAAAAAAAAAAATTCATAAATCAACAAACTACAAGAACAATAACATACGTTGTTGTATGTTCTGATTCAGTCGCCGAAACTAATGGTGCCACCTAAACAGAGAAGAAAAACAACATAATTGAGAATCACAATCAAGAAGACAACCTTACAGCATCAGTTTCATTATTTTCGTCGATATAACGACGTCCATCAGTGATTGATGTTACAGATGGTGATTTTTTAATACGTTGAGGATCAGTCGGTATGTGTAAAACTGATAACATCGATGATGGTGAACTCGTCTCCGATTGACTTATAATTGTTGGAGAAGTATCGGATGACATTATCGGAAGATAGAGAGAAAAAAAATGAAAGAATAAAGAAAGAAATGGATCTTTATCTAAATTAGGAATAAAGAGTACATAATAAATCAGTTTTAAAATTGATTTTCATTAAAAAAAAATAGTAGTAGAACCTCGAATCGATTCGATCAACTTAACTTTAACCGTTTAATTAGGATTCGAATTAAAATACCATAAACATTGTTCTTCTTTCATTACTTTTCCTTTTTTTTGTACTTACATATTTTTGAACAATCGCCATGTTATCCATGTCTAAGATGATGTCAGATTGACATCAAAAGCTTAACAACAAAGAGAATTTTTGATTAAAATTTTACAATTATGCTTTTTAAATGGAAAGGAATTGGCATCCACGAATATATTTTTATTTTTGTGGTTCTACAATTTGTTTAGTGTACAATCAAGCTTTGTCGTCATTTATGCAAATTTAATTGATGTAAACAATGAATCAATGCCCTTTTCTCGTACATATCATGAATCATCTATAACATCCAGTTTTTATGTTTGAGTCCCATACATGAAATAATTTTTTGCTTGTTCAGATATTTTTGAAATGCATATTTGTTGTAGGAGAATAACTTCGATAAACAGACACGGATGATAGTATGAATAAAATAAAGTTGATTCGATCGAAGTAAATTGTCGGATAATATATTGCTTAGACCATTTTTTTCATTTGATTTGGGAAAATCACTTCTGCTAGTGACTATAACATGAGTAAAATACGCTTTTCACCAAAAAAGTTTGTCCAGAACATCATCTCAACATTCAAGATTCAAGAATATTTTTCTCTTATTTTTCGGCATACGCAGTATATTATGTGCCTGCAGGTTCATAGTAAAAAAAACACCGCCTTGAGATCCAGCGTAGTCAATAATCTCCGTTTCCATTCATTTTTGAGGCTTCCAAATCTAAAGATCATCGAATTCGAGGCTCTCTGGAGCATCTCTACCACGGCCGAACGTTGAAAAATCCAGACGTCGGACTTGCGTACATTTGTAGAGCAACGTCTGTTGGTTCGAATCTGCCCATCGACATTCAAAATTTGAAACCTTTTTAGTGCAGGGAAACCTTCTTCAAAAGTCTTGGTCAGGACACTCGCCTACAGGTAGTCATTTTTTTTATTTTTGTATAGTATCATAGAAAGCTGGTTCAGTTTTGAAGAGAGAAATGTTGGACTATCTCTTTTCTATCGAAAATTATTTAAAAAATAATCCACCGCATTCTATTTTGAAATGGATAGTAGTATTTCTTTCCTACAAGAAAAGTGAAAAATTTAATTGCAATCTCTCAAGAGAAAAAAATGGTATTTGAAGATCCCAAGATTTGATTGATTTTAAAAAAATCGAAAATGGTATTGCCATAAAAAACTTATAAGAATTAAATTTAGGCTTTTTCATTTCTGAATAGTGACGAAACATATTTTTAGTCTATAAACTAGGTTTTGACCGCTTTTCAAAACATCTTTTGGGTTCTTTCTTAAAACAAAAAAAACAATTTTTGTGATAGAGATTCTTGTTATCAGAAAAAGCAAAAAGTTATTTAAAAATAGTCAAACGTACTTTATGATAGAAATCTAGTAGATACTCAGACTGGCGATTAAAAATTATTGTTCTAACATAGTTATCTGATGGTACAAATGGGTGTGGTACAAATATTATTCTTATTTCTGTTTTTTTTCATTCTATTTTCGTTAAATTGTCACACGACAAATCACAAACGAAAAATGAATGTCACCAATAGGCTGAGATAGAGAGCAAATAATAAGCTCGATACTGTACTCTACAAAAAACTTTCTATAATGTAGTATTTCAACTGTGATTCGAAGATATATCGTCCATTAGTAATCTTAAAAACATTCATTCACTCATTTATTATTATTTTTCTCCACCCTCTTTTTTCTCTCTGTATATCTGATGAATGTAGGTGCTTGCATTCATAAATAAAGCACTGTACTATGCGCCTTGCATTAATGAACTATCCAAACAAAACTAAGCATTCATACATTCTTCTGACTAAAAAATGAATGTTACATAACCTTCGGTTTTCATTAGTATAGAGTCTGCATTTATTATTTAAATATATGACGTAGATTTTCTTCGTGAGATGAACCTAAAATTTAACTCTAATTAAAATAAGTAATAATAATATAATATAATGTATATAGAATAATATAATTAATTTTAAAACACATGTTTTCAATTTAGATGAAAATTTTCAAATAACTTTTTTCTGTCTTACTAATATTTATGGTTGTAAAGGTAGTCTTCGTGTTGATTTTCCTCTTTTTTTATTAGATAAAATTATTGTTATTTATCACTCGGCAGAAATTTTCATTATGCCTAAACGTGATACAAACAAGCCTCGTGGTCCTGTTACTGCTTACGTATTATTCGTCCGGACATGTCGTGACGAATTAAGACGTAAAGTGAGTAGTACTTCTACTTTTTAGTCTAGTTTTTCAATCGTTCTAGCATTAATCATCTTGATTTTATTTATCTCTTCTATTTACGTCTCAATTAGCTCATATAGATGTTTTTGTTTAGAATAATACCTAATATGATTCGGTTTTCAAGAAAAGAGTAAATGATCCGGAAAGACAACTTTTAGCTCCTATTCATGGAAGTTCTTCTTCACTTTTATTATGACATGAATAACCGACAGAGCGGAATAACATTTTCTGAGTACTGATGTGTGTCATTACAGAATTTTTACATCTTAGCAAATTTTATTTTTCAATTACTGTTTTGTTGGCAATGTATGTCTGTATAAACATCACGGTATACTTATAATATTTCGAATGTATTTTTAATTTTTTCACCTTATCACGTATCATTCTCACAAGAGACGTACCGAGACAGTACTGCATGGTTCAGACATAGTAAGGTCATTCTAATTAATACTAAATTAGATAAAAAGACTTATACTAAAAAATTAGTTACTGAATAAATAATTTTCAATGTAACACTTTCTTTGATAGAAACATATCAACATGTGCTAGGCATCGATGCTTCACTGAATTTTTTTTTGCAGAGTCCGCGTTCTTTTGAGCTGTTGGATACTTAAAAAAGAATTTAAAGTATTCATAAGCTAGTGTTTTCTAGTGTATGTGACAGTGAATGTCATAACTTTAGGTTAAATTGTATAGCTATTATGACATTCACTATTAGTCATGGAGTACTCATGTGTACTGAACCACTAGCTCTTACGCAGATCACGAGAGTCGTTGATTGCCTAGTGAAAAGGCTCTAATAACCTTCGAAAATATTCAGTTATTTATAAAATACATAAACACGTATATAATCATGAACATGTCGACGTATGCAGCCTTGCTTTATCAGTAAAAACAGCCTTGCACATTACTAAAAAACTGAGGTATTATTAAGATAAATAAAATAAGCTTTCTCTACCACTGTCACACACAGACAGATCGGTCATCATGCGTCTTATTCAAAAAAATATAGTACTTTATATAATTTTTAGAAAGAAAAGCGAAAATTAAGCCATATTGTGATTTAGAAACTAAAAACAGCAATGAACATATCCAGAGTAAATATGATATCTGATTTTTTGTAACATTGATAATTTTGAATACGATGGATGCTATAGATGTGGCAGTAGCATCTAGTGGTGAATGATGTTTGCATTCTTCACTGACATCATCTAAACGGTCAAAAGTAGTATGGTCAATAACGAAGCTAGTTTACATGTAAGTTGAACATTACCTACTTTGAGTATCAATATCATCTTCTTCACTACTTTAATTCATTTTCGTCATCTTTAGTATTTAGCTATAATTTGTTGTTGTCAATGTGTGGTGAACGGATGATTGTACCAAGCTGTTGTGAAATTTCTTTGTTTTTTTTCAAATCCTTTTACGATGTATGTATATGAAAGATTAAAAACACGACGAGAAAATAGTGTTAAAGATTACTGTATTAGTGATATCGAGTAGCTGACAGCTCCAATGAGTTTTATTTCATGGTTACTAACATCATCTAAAGCGAGAGTAGTGAATGAAACCTAGGTACCTTTTGTATCTTAAAAGAAGATAATGTGTAAATGACAAATAGCTTGCTCTTTCAATTTCAGATAAAATAATCTACTTTTTTAACAGTGTAAAATTTTTGTTATCGTAATGCGAAAGCTTCTTCCTTTACAACAAGTACAATACTGACAGCTGGAAGGAATTTTTCCAGGGTTTTGATTTGCAAATTTTTCGTCTAGTTACAAATAAAAACTGTTTAATATCAACTTTCCGTTTACATTATAAACAACTCAAAACTGATGGTTTTATATTAAACCTTGTTTTTTATCTGCGACTATATATATGTCACAAAAAAAGAGCTTTTTTTGTATCCACAGAATATATTTTACAGACGTACTTTATCACAGCATATAGTAGTTTTAGAAACTTCAAACTTGTTTCACGTTTTTCTTAAAAAGTATTTTTTACTTAGTTTTTTTCAACTACAATGCTACGTATTTTAACAGATAACTTTTCATTGAAATGTCAAGATAAAATTGTGCAAAATGATTAAGGTCGATTTAAATTTCACTTCTGATTCTATAAAAATTGTAGACACTTGAGTTTCAAACATCGACTTTCTCGAATTTTCAACTTAAAATGCTTGTTACAAGATAATGGGAATGAAAAAATTAAAGAAATTCCAGAATCGGCCTTTATCATTTTTTATATTTAGTTCTTTACTTTAATTTGGGACTGTTTTGCATCTAACGCCGATGCAGAGAAAATGGTATCGTATCCATTCATTTCGTCGCTTGCGTGTCGCGTAACTTTCGAACCGATTACATATGTATGGAGAAAATTTTCATTATGATCTATTTATATAATGCACTGTCAAAAGGTTTGATTCAAATTAGTTACACAGTATAGAACAAACAGATTTATAGGAGTGGGATTACCGAAGTACTCGATCAATGAATTTATTTGAGTTGTCTTTTGAAACTTTTGAGTTTTTGAGAAGTTACTGTATGCGAATAGCGTAGCCTGTTATTATATATTTTAGTTTCCTCAATTGCAAGTTGATTACAGTGTTATATCAAAACGTTGTAGTGAACGTTGGAAACAAATGTCAGACTGCGAGAAAAAACGTTTCAGTGATACAGCCGAAATTCAACGTAAACGTTATAAAGAAGAAATGGTTCATTATCATGCGGAGTTAGCAAAAACACTTGCTGCTGTGCCGCAAAGCACTAATCAACAATCTAATCCTACGCAACAAACATCGATGATGAATTCATATGACTTAACAAATCATCAATTTCCACCGTCTACAACTTCAAATGTTCATCAATTAACAGCATCATCATTAACTCCAACACAAACTTTGACTTCGCTACCTTCTCTAGGATTAAGTAATAATAACAACCATCAAAATGATATAAACCAGTCGCTACAACAGCAACAACAATTATTCACTCCACCATCGAAAAAGGCAACAAAAAAACGAGACAAAAAATTAAAAGATCCTCTAGCACCGAAGAAACCTTTATCGGCTTATTTTTTATTTTGTGCAGATGAAAGACCAAAAGTGCACAATTTACAAGCAGGTAAAACTCAATTGTTTATCATATACTATAAGACCAGGAGCTTTCTGGTTGGAAGAAGATTTAGTATAATAAATGTATTCTACAAAAGAAAAACGTGAATTTCATTATTAAATCAGAGATGGTTTTGTGCGCTAAAATTTGTTTTATTTACATTAAGGTTTATCTGTTAGTGATGTGTCGAAAGTATTGGGAAATCGTTGGAAAAGTGCCTTGCCCGATGTTAAACAAAAATATGAACAGCAAGCAAATGAAAATAAAAGTAAATATCAGATTGAATTCAATAAATATAAGCAACAGTTACCGATGTCTTCATCAAATTCTGCTCTTCCTGGTACATTAAATATACCTCGAAACAACAATAACACCAACGAATTTCACCCTCAAACCCAAATGAATTTTTCTCAACAACAACAACAACAACAACAAACTCTTCAATTTCCTTTTCAACAGCAGCAACATCAAAATTTTTTGATTGATCAAGATGATTTTAATCAACCGAATGGTATTACAAGTGTTGGAATTACGGATCATTTCAATAATCATGTTGATATGGAAAATAGACAACATGATTTTGAAGCGGAAACTGAAGATGATGGTTAAGATTTCATATTCATACATGTTATCAATGTAAAAATTGTTTTTATTTTAATAATTGGTCTAACCATTTGAATTTTGATCTGATTATTGAGCAGTGACAAATCAGCACTTTAGAAGAGCAATATATTTGTCTGTTCTTTTATATTACTGTTCATTTGTTTATTTTAGTTTTAGTAGTTATATGATATGAAAAAACTAAAAAAATTTTACGATCGCATCAGATTTTAGTTTACTTTTTATTTCCACTGAGTTTGATATCTCTTTGTTTGTTTATGCTTTTCTTTTGATATTTTTTTTTTATTTTTATTTCACTAAAAAGGAACAAAAGAAGTACTCATCGTAAAATGTGTTTTATTCTGGTGGAAATATCATAAAAAAAACCCAAAAGGTATTTTATGTATTGATTGAGTTCTCCGTATATGAGAGAACAACGAACTTAGTTGCCAAATGTATCTCCATAAAAGAAACAGTCACACATCTCGAGATTTGTTTCCTGAAAAAGTCTGTTCCATCGGATGTTGGTCTTTACAAGGTGTCTTTCTTTTTTTTGACTGTTTCTAATAGATTTTTCACTTCTATTTCAATTTTCTCAATAACAAGCACGACAAATAATATGTTTTATTTTGTCTCTTTGTATAGGAAAAAAACCTGCCTCTTTTTTTCCCAAGTTTGTTCTCTCTTATTTTTTTATTTAGTTGACATTCCTCATAACGAATTGTATGTTATAGATTACTTGCAGTTTGATATCCTTCTGTTTGAGAAAACGACTCAATTTTATGTATCTTGATGCACAAATCAAGATTGATCCCTTTTTTTAAACTTTGTGTAGGGAGAAGTGAAGAAAATTGGTACTATGTGTTAAAAACATATCATGACACAGCATAAAAATTACCTTGTCAGTTAAACTTAGTCATTTGAGGTTGACAAATATCTTTCATGTTCGTTTTTATAGTTAGTTTTTCTTTCTTAACTGTAGCATATGTCGCGTACACTAACATGTCTGTCGATTCTTTCAACTCTGTAATTTTTTTCAAAAATAAGTAACCTTTCTCTACTATAATCCTGAAGATATCAAATATTAAGCGGTAGTGAGGTACAATGTTTTTACCTGAAAAAGCTCTATAATTATCTATATACCGAACGTGTTAAAGAAAATTAATTCTGTTTCTCGTTTTTCTTATGGTAAATATAATAATGACTTGAAGGTTTTTAATGTATTTGTTCTCCTTTTTAGATTATACTTGAAAATACTGAACTCTGAATCTATTTACATTATTATTCATTGAATTGATAATTTCTTAATATCATACAAATCGTTCTAGTTCTAAATCTCTTTTCTACAAACGTTTATCTAATACAACAATAATTATGTTGCAGCGTAATATATGTAATACCGAGTACCAGAAAGTAATCTAACGCTTGATTGACCATTATGACCATAATCTCCTGCTCAGTTTTCTTGAAGTAGATACTATAGATATACTTAAAATATCTCTAACACAATAAATAAAATAGGAGAAACCTCAAGTTTTTAGTAACAATATTTTACTTTACTTTATAGTACCACTAGATGCATAAAATGTAAAAAAGAATCCAAAAGTAGAAAAAAAAGAAAAGAGAATAAAGTAGTAAATCTTCTTTTGTCAACCTTTTATCTTTTTCTTTAATGTTCTATCGTAGCAAAGTTAATTTCCCTATGCTTTTCTCGGAAATATAACTTTTCTAATTATTTTAACTCGTTGCTCGGTTCGCTGAATTTGAACACCAGATTTCAAAATAGTGAAATTTTTCAGCCGAATAAAAAGCATCTACGTTGATCTCTTTTTAGAATAATAATATATCAGAAATGTATGCTGTACTCTTTAACTAAGTAAATAATATATTTTAAAAATTTGAATAGCAATTAGAATGCTTACTACTAGAAGCATTTTACAATTATATAGTGAATAGGAGAGATCTGATTCTGTATCGTTCATGGTAATGTTGTGTGTGTATGTGTGCAGAGTGTTTTGAGTTAATAAACTGTATAGTATAAATTAGCAGTATACGGTCTGTCCACGTAACGGTCGCCTTTTCGTGATTCCGTCACGATTTTTGTTGTTTTGCGAGTCTCTTGACGCTCGAACAAAAGGAAACTAAGGAATTGTTTACATCTAGTTTTGTAGAGAAAAGTGAGCTGAACAAAATGTGATATTTTCCGTTTTCGCAGAATACCGTGATCGTCAAGTACAACAAAATTTTTACAAGCCCCAATCACAATTTTTACCGTCCGCCAAAACGAAGCTCGTAAAACTTTTGTTGTACTTGACGACCACGGTATTCTGCGAAAACGGAAAATATCACATTTTGTTCAGCTCACGTTTCTCTACAAGACTAGATGTAAACAATTCCTTAGTTTCCTTTTGTTCGAACGCCAAGAGACTCGCAAAACAACAAAAATCGTGACGGAATCACGCGTTACGTGGACAGGCCGTATATGTATTATAAAGAGTTAACACTTGGATATATTAGTATATAGATATTTTTTAGTTTAGAGATTCGTCATGCAAACCCAAAATGAATAGAAATACGCGCCTACAACGATGAAAGAGAAAAACAATGTAAACTAGATACCAGCTGCGCTCTGTGAAGATTGGAAGTCGACTGACGAGGGAACTTTTCGAGGTGATTAAACGCTTTTTGCTCGGAATCTAGTGGGTTATAGGTTATCGACCATGCTGATTACGAATATGACCATGGGGGTTGCCCTTATCCCTTGAAGACCTGATTTTCTAGAAAACCGGTTTTTCAGAAACTCTAAAATATAAGAGAATAAGAACCTTAATAAGTCTCTACTGCACTCATGTTATTGACGGCAAGCGTTCTCTATCTCTGAAGAAGAACAAGAAGAACATGCAGACTCTGGAGAAAAGCAACAAGCCGATCGGCTTAATAATAAAAAATCCACCAAAATACGTAGCTTGAAATACGCGTAGACTTACACTGAAAGAAAACACATTTCTTTGTTCCAAGCCGACAAAACAGCTCTCGTTAAATAGAGAAACATATACTTATATCATTTCAGAAGAAGAAGTTTAGTATTATAAGAATTTTATTTTCTGCTTTAAAAAGACGTAGATCCTTCACTAACAGCTGGCGTCAGAGATCTTTTTTAATGATCTTTTTTAATCTTTTAAAAAAGATTTTTTTTTTATCTTTTTTAATTTTTTAAGTTATACAATGATTATCTGTATCATAGAGTAAAAATTAGATACTTTAGTGCCGTATTTTAATTTTATAAAGTATCTAACTTTAACTGTATTATATATCTAAAGTATCTAACTTCAACTCTGTTATATATCTAGTTCGTATTGACCAATAGTTTTACTCTCAATATGTCGCACAGATTATACTTGTCGTTATTGGCGTTATATAAAGGATATAAAATGAATTTAGTTACCAGTTATATGAAATAGAATTTTAACTATATTTTATATTTTATATTTTTATATATTTTACTACGTACACTGAAGAAGACCTCAATTAAAAGAGGCCGAAACGTTTGTTGTTTTGTTAAATTTAAAATTAAAATAAAATTAAAATACGGAACTAAAGTATCTAGCTTTAACTCTATTATATATCTAGTCCGTATCGACCAATAGTTTTACTCTCGATTGTCTGTATGTTATACAAAAAAAAAATGATATTACGTGCCTTTTCTGAGACAAAAAAAATTTACTCGAGTCTGGAATGAAGTGTTCACAAATTGAAGATTCATAGCGCGCTAATTATCTGCCTACAGGAAAACCACGTTCGTGTGATCGATAATAGAAAAGTATGACGAATCATCGCTTTTATTTTGTACTATTCGGAGCGCGGATCTGTGCATCGTATATATGCTTGTTTGCTTATTCATACTTGTTTAGGTTTTGCATTCTTCTCCTATCGTGTACTAATCTGATTATACACATGTCTGTATGTATAAAAAAATTATTTTCAATTACGCCGGAGCGTATTTTTCGTCCTATATAGTTTGTGTTGTTTCTTTTTATTTTGTTATTTCTATAATGTAGAACATATCATCATTTTACCTAGTTTTTCTTCTCTTTTTTTCCTTTATTTTTTAGAAAAAAGTTAAAGAACCATAAATCATTAATGAAAGTATATAATAATGTTCTTTGTCAAAATAAAAAAAGTAGTATACATAGAAAAATAAATGGATGACTACAACATGACAATCCCAACTGAGACGAAATTCTCATGTTCAAATTAATGACGTTAGATGTAGCATAAAATAAGTCATGTTTGTATCACCGTCCTATAATCAAGAATCAACGATAACACAAGTACCACAACAACAATCAAGTGGAACACCATCTTCAGATATCAAAATTAGATGTATTATTAGAAAAAAGGTGAGTTTTATTTCTTTACCTGTAAAAATTAGTAAAAAGTATAAGTATGGCATATTTAACACAAAATCCGATCGAATAACAGTTAATTGAATGTCTGTATTGACTAGAACAAGAGTAATAGATTTCACAGTAAACATCACTCTCTGTCAAAAAAAAATCAATATTCATTCAAAATATCGATTTTTTAAGATTTGTACATTGTTTACTTTGAGAATCTATATCAGTTTTTGTATCACAGATAAATCTTCATAGGTTAAAAGAAAATTTTTTGGAAACCTCGAAAAATAAAATATTCGAATTCTAGTTCTTTCCATAATACCTATACAATTAAACTATTTTCTAAACATGTAGATTTGTAGAATAACCTTTTCGGCTTAAATCGAGACATAGTACAACTCTTTTGTTAAAAAGTTACAAGCATTTTCCTACAAGTCCTACCCATGAGGAAATTTTATCGACTTTTCACGCGTGAGGGACCGTGAAATGTCAGCTTGGATTTTCACGAAATTTTGTAGGTAAAGACAGCAAGTTTCACGACAGTTTGGTCGTGTTGTTGTAACATCACACGCGTGGCTACGCGTGAAAAATCTTCACATGTGTACACAAGTA